GTGTTTCATTGCACAACCTGCTGTCCAGTACAGCTGCCCCACATCTGACAGTGAACTCATCTTTGAACATTTTACCCTAGTGACTGTGGTCATTCTAACATTACTTCCAGATAGCCATTTACTGCCATCTTTGTCCGTATGTTACTGTTGCAACACAAAAGCTGCCCTAAAATATGATAGACATGCTTGCCAACAGATCTAGGAGGTAGGATGGGAGGATGGAGAGGGGCACCTGCCTCAGATGTTCAGAGGGAATTGAGCAGATTGTTGACACTTTCTTTCAAGAGGGACATCAGCGCTTTGATTTCATAAGTGAACACACATTAGTGGGAGATGGCCTTCCAGGGTGTGTTGGTTCAGGCGGCCTCAGCAGGAGCAGCATTCCGAGGAGCCTGTGAAATAAGCAGGCCAAGATGATAGAGCAGAAGACAAGTGCTCAGCGCCAAGGAGCAGCCTGGTCCAGGAGAGGGCTCCAGGAGCTAGCTACCTAGCTAACTATCTAATCTATCTATCATCTACCTATCTATCTATCTATCTATCTATCTATCTATCTATCTATCTATCAAGTTGGAGTCTCACTCTTGTCACCCAGGCTGGAGTGCAGAGGCATGCACATGGCCACCACAGTACTGACCTGCTGGGCTCAGGTGACCCTTCCACCTTAGCTTTCCAAATAGCTGGAACTACAGGTGTGCACCACCATGCCCAGCCAAATTTTTAAAAATTTACTGTAGAGATGAGGGCTCACCAAGTTGCCCAGCTAGTCTCGAACCCCAGGACTCAGCAATCCTTTCACCTTAGCCTCCCAAAGTGCTGGGATTACAGGCTTGAGCCACCATGTTGTCCAGGAGCAATTTAAATGATGGAGGTGATAGGCACTCGATGGAGGGGATGTATAGAGACAGGGCAATCAATCACTGCCAGGCTTATCTCCTGACAAGGAGTAAGGCTCCAGCTTCCAGATGTAATATTAAAAAGTAATGTTTCCACTGGGGTTTAGCATGGCAGGTTTCCCTGAAGCTTCAGTTTCACTCTGCTAACTAATTATGAGAAAATGTGACATTGATATTTACTTTTTCTATGGGACAAATCATTCCCAGCAGGAAGAAGTTATTTTTGATATGTTTATTTTGTCATTAAAAAGAAATTACTTACATAGTAGTAAATACACACTTGTTAGAGAGAAATTTTCTTCTCTCCATAATTCTATCAATTCACCTTAATGCTGACAATCCTTTATTTGGCTTTCCAGGGACATGGTGAATAAAAGACTTAAGAGTTGGGGTGTTAGAACTGGGTTTAGAAATTCAATCTCCCACTTACTAGCTATGTGACCTTAAGCAAGTTATTTACGTACTTGGAGCTCTTTTTTGAGCTGTAAGATGAGGGGTAATAGATCTATAGAGTGCTATTCATTAGAGTTGAAAGGAAATAATGTAGCTGAAACATTTTAGTGCAATGCCTCCCCATAATAAGTGCTCAATACATTTCAGCCTTTCCTTTTCATGACCCTGATGCTCTGTTGTATAAATATAGAAACAGTTCACATGTCATTTCGACCTTGTGTTGCCAATTCTATATGACTGCTAATCATGAGCTGAGGCTTTGGCACTACAAGCTAAATTGTGGATTAAACATTTTACTCCTCTTCACCCTGATGTAATAAAAGGTTTTCAGTGAGCATTTAATGATAATGTTGAAGCAAACAGTTCTTCCCTCCTCTTATCTTTTAACTTTTCAAGGGCAGTAGGTAATCCTGAGCAAACATCACTGGTAAACCCATGCTTCCTCTTCTGCTGCTTGGTTACTAGAAAATAATATTGTGTTTGAGGCACTTTTAACAAACAGAAAGTGATTTTACAGATGCTTTCTCATTTGAACTCACAGCAATCCCATGAGGTATGCAGAGTAGATATGATTAGCCCCATTTTACAGGTAAGGAAAATAAAATAGAGAACAAGAGAGAAATGACAAAGTCACTGAATTCAAGCTCTCTGTGAAAGGGCATCTGTGGAAATGAAAAATGTCAGGGTTATTGGATTTTGCAAAATTAGTTTTTCCATGAATAAATTGTATCTGGGAGATAGTGAAAGTGACCAATTATTAGAGAGTGAAGCAAGATCATTGGTGGAAAGTAACCAAAATAGAAAATCAAGAGGCATAGGGTTTTGTATTCCAATTTCACAATCCACTTGCCTAACGTGTCCCAAATTTCTACCAATAAATTGGAGAAAGAAAAAAAATGCTACTTCTCACTTCTCTTACAAATGTACTGCCATGCCATTACTGAGTACAAATACTAAGTACAATTGGCAATAGGACATTCAAGAAGTTTTACACTAACCATTGCACATATGAACTCTTAAAAATGTATAAACACAAAGAAATATATTTTGAGTGGTAGGTAGAAAGTCTTGGTAATAAAAAAGAATATTTTCCCAAGGATATATAGGCTAGATGATGATAAACAATTAGACTGAAATGATATATATCAGCATTATAATTTCATATTTTATATCTTTGAACTATTTTGGGAAATCACAGAACCAAAATAAGAGGTACTGACATGTGGTACACTTTTGGAAGCCATGAGACTACACTAGCCTTCTAATTTGGATAACGTTTCTTCAACTAACTACATATAAAATTCTGAAAAAAATCAATTCTGAAGTTCTTCTAATACTAAGTATTTCTGGCAGTAGTCACTTTTTAGAACTTCAAAGGACCCTGACTTATGCTCAGTAATATCTTATAACCCCTTAAGAAGTCCTAGTGGACAACAGAATTGCAATTCAGAAGTCCTACCCACACACTTTTTTTTTTAAATGGGGGATAAAGTTCTTATAGATAGGAGGGCAAAAGCAAACAAAGCTTATTAAGGGGATTTCTAGTTCAAAATAAAAGCCAAACACAAGTTTCTAGTTTATCATTTGAACACGGCAACTCAAGGACTTATAAATATGCAAACACCTAGCTACACCAACAGCAATCAGCAAAATAGCATCTAATAATGGGTTACCATTAGGGGTTGATTGCCCAATTCTGACTCAATGTGCCCAAACATAATTTTCCCTATGATTTTTCATAGAAAATGATACAACTTTATTTCAGCATTGAAACAGATTATATGATGTGGCAGCAGCAGAAGCCTCCCTAAAACTCCCTCTCCATTTCCTTAATTCATTAATTTAATAAATATTTTTGATTATTTGCTGCTTGCTGGAAACTGTATCAAGGAACTCACAGTCTAACAATGAAAACCGGTAAATGAAGCATCAAAGTTGTATATTAAGTCCTAATGTGTAGAAAAATATTTGGCACAACAATAGGTGGATCAGAAAGCTCTCACAGAGAATGAGGTGAGGTATCCAGACACTGTCTATACAGCATAAGAAGTAGCCTCCTGCCAGAGAGAACTGTGTGGATAACAGCAAGAAGACATGATGAAGATGGTGAGTTCCAGAAATGAGATGTGGTGCCACATGACTGGAGTACAGATAGTAGGTAGCTAAGAGGAAAAGATGGCAAATGAAACAAGAAGCAATGGCAGAAGACGAAGAGTCCATCATTTAGGGCTTACTTGTTCATGTTAAATGCAATATTAGAAAGTTGACCACAATTATTGGTCTGGTGGAAAGATTTCACTTTACAGGCAATGAGACTTGATTTTTACTCAGTAAATCAGTTTGGTGCTAGCTAGGTGATCCAGTAAGCAAGAGGAAGAAAGCCTAGAGGTATGCATGCATCCCAGTTATAGATTTCAAAAACTAAGGAAGACACCAAAAGGGCTCCTAATTAAAGCCCCATGTAGTATATTTCTAAAACATAATTATATGGCATAATTGACTCATTGTGGACACTAGATGAACATTTCTATGACTGATTGAGTAAATGAACAATTCCAAAGTTTAGACAGAAAGAACTAGACATTTTACTTGTACATGAACAAGCTGTCTCTTAGAATGCATGTACTGAATTATTTTTTGGAGGGCAGACACCTTATAGTAAAGGATTCCCCCTAGGTAACTATTCTAGGAACCCATCAGCATCAGTGTACCAGCTAGTGTTGTTCTAAGAGACTGCATTCAGCTTCAGTGAATTTTTTGGGGGGGATATTCAGCATGTTTGCCTATATCAGGATGGATGATGTATGAGCATACCTGCTTATACCACACTGAGTGTTTAGCAGTTTTTGACCAAAAATGGCATGGCCCTCATGTCCCACCCTCCCTTATTCACTCAATCTTGCCCCAAGCAACTTTCTTTTTGTTTGTTTCCTGATGAAAAAAGCTCTTAAAGGGAAACACTTTGCTGATGTGGAAGAGGTGAAACAAAAAAGGGCAGGAGCACTAAAAGGCACCAAAATTGACAAGTTCAAAAACTGTTTTGAGCAGTGGAAAAAGGATCACAATAGGTGTACTGCACCAAACAGAGAGTACTTTGAAGGTGACTGAAGTTTAAACATGTAAGAATAAATATACTATTTTTTTTATAAATAAATTCTGAGTTTTTTGGGGTCCCCTCTCGCAATTCATCTCAGCTGGGTAACTTATACACCACTTACTGATTAGCTTCCTTTCAGATTTAGAACACACTTTGCCTACAGCTGATGGAGACATGATCCCAATGTTCAATCAAGAAGGGACTTTTGGGAATATTTACCATAAACTTCCATCTAGAAGATGAAATTCTGGTTCAGAGAAGTTACATGACTATCCCAAAGTCACAAAAATTTTCTGATAATAGGATGAAAATCAGGCAGAATATATAAAGTTTCACCATATTTGTCAACCAAAATTTAGCAAATTTGAAAGTATAAGATATCGAACTAAGCTAGGATGATTTAAGTTTTTAAAAGTTTTTGACAATTCACAATAAGAAAATTCAAGGTCAACATCTTAGAGACACTTTCTTAAATAATTATTTGCTCTGACAGTGAAATTCAAGGACCAGGGCTCAGTTTTTAGTTCTGAATTGGTATAAATAAGACAGATTCTTACCATGATCTTCTGAAGAGACTGGTGACCTACAAGGAGATAATAAGCATTGATAAGTATTTTGTATAGGAAAACCATAACAATAATGAATAATTTCATAGAAATTATCTCCCCAAAATTCAATTAAACAGAAACTCAATATAGCAGACAGTGTAATTAAAGTGTTGATTACATAGTAGATTTCAACCAACAATCCCCAGATCTTACCTGATTCCTTGAAAGTTACAGGTTACTAAAATGTCAGTCTATTCATGGTGTCACAGGGATGTAATAAACTTAGTTAAGTCTGGATTTATCACACAAAAAAGAGAACTCATAGAACTGTGGTGTTAGATGAAATCCTATGATGTCAACTAATGCCCAAGGCCAGGCCTCCAGAGAAAATGCCAGGCATGTGAATAATATTTAGTGTCTGTAGGTAAAAGAGATCTACTTGAGCAGTATACACTGAGACAGAAGTAAAAGAACTGGCATGCACACTTATCATTACTGATTTTTGTTTCTATGCTTCATGGAGTTTAATGTTTGGGTGAGCATGACCTGGACTCTCTACGTGCTGGCCTCCTGATTCAAAACCTGTAAGAATGAGGATGAGGCATGGGGATAAAAACTGGGGTCCCACAGAACTTCCGTAAAGCAAAAACTTTTGCAAGCCATTTGTGGGTTCAGTTCCAATTACAGTAGTCAGATATCAAACAAACCATAAAAGCCTTTTCCATCTCACCTGGCTACTAACAGAAATACTTTAAGAAATACAGAGCCGGGCTAGGGGCTCAACCTGTAATCCCGCGCCTTTGGGAGGCTGAGGTGAGTGGATTGCCTGAGCCCGTGGGTTCGAGATCCGCCTGGGCAGCAAGACCTCATCTCTACAATAAATCAAAAAATCAGCCGGGCACAGTAGTGCATGCCTGTAATTCTGGCTACTTGGAAGGCTGAGGTGGAAGGATCGCTGGAGCCCAGCAGGTCAAGGCTGCGGTGGCTGGGAGCAGCCACTACACTCCAGTCTGGGCAACAGAGTGAAACTCCAACTCAAAAAATAAATAAATAAATAAAAAGAAATACAGATACAGCTTTGGAGATGAGTTCGCTTCCAGTTTGGAAGACCACTGTTTTGATTCCCAAATAATTATTTTCCAGGGAGAGAGACACATTTTACTCTATTCAAAGTTATTGGAAATTTGAAGGGTAAGACAAGAAATCAAATACTTCCTCCAACTCTTCTCTGAATGACTGGCCCCCTGGAGTCGTAGGAGGGAGATGACCAAAGATAAATTCAGGAATTTGGCAACAGAGCTACTTAGTGAAATAACTAATATTCACAGTAAAAATGCTAGGGAAAGAATAACTCAGTGAATGTACAAGTGGTTGAAGACAATTTTTAGCTACTTTGGGATGCTTGATACTGCTTTACTTTACCTACTAATTAGTACTAGTCTTTATTATGTGAATTGATTTCAGGACCACCATACTGGTATTCAGACTCAGACATATCCAGGAGCTCCTTAGAAAGTCATCATGTTACTGTCAAACAACCTTTAAAACAAGCTTGTCTGCTCCCAGGTCGCTTTGAGAAAGTGGCCTGGGAAGGAGCCTGAAGCCCCAGGCTGGTTACACCATAGGCTCTCTCAGTCTCTCAAGAGACACCAAGAGTACCCAGAGTCAGAGACACTCATACCTGCCCTAATGATTAGGAAAAATAAAGGAGAGATCCCACGTGGAATGGGAGGTGAAATGAGATGAGAAGGTGCATCCAAAGAGAAATATACATTTGAAATAAAATGAGTGGATTTCTCATTATGTCCAGGGCATAGCAGAGTCACCAACAAGGGAACATCTTTCCTCCTGGTGTTTTCTAATGAGAAGTAAGTAAAAACAGGTCTTGGATTATTTGCAATAATTTCTCACAGAGCTTCAGGAGCAAAGAAGAATTTGTGCCAATGGACAGCTAAATGTCTCAGGTGGAGAACATGGGAAGCAAGGTTTTTGCTGCCTTTCTGCAAAAGTAGAGCACTGATAGTAAATCTGAAAAGTTCCAGATGGCTCCATTAGAGTCTCAAGGGGAAACATTCTACAGTGTGTCCAGGCAGTGGGGAAGAACTATCGATTTCAGAGTGTTTTGTGAAAATTAGTCATGTTGAGTTTCTGTGCTGAATGTCTCCCACATGCCTGGATTTGTGAAATCTTAAGACATATGGAGTATTTCAATCCCCACTCAGTATTTCACCTTTCACTGTAATGAGACGCTACATTATTCTACTGAGACATGCACACCATCCATTATTGCTGGAAATGGGCATAAAAAGTTAGCTCAGGAGAGAAGAAATATCCTGCAATCAGCATTATAAGAAGTTATTTTGAAAACAGAGGTTGAATCCCAGGAATAGATCATCTTCCTCAACCTGACAGCTGAGGCATGCAGGAAAGCTCCCTGCTTATTCTTCCCACCACACCTTAAGGACGTGTGGTTTTTGTCCCAGACTATTTATTTTTCCTCCATGCATACTTCACCTTGGCGTCAGCATCTGCTCTCACAGTGTAAACTATTACTAATATTCAAATAACTCCAGGACTTTCAGTTTTCATCTTCTTTCTTTACTGTTCACTAGGCCTTTATTATGCACTACTAAATATTTATATTTGCTTTGTTTTATTTATTTTGAAATTTTTATTTTTTTAAGTTCAGAAAAGTAAAAAAAAAAGCCAAAACAAGAATGCAATCCTGAATTTAAACGTATTTCTCCTATTTTATTCAGCCTAAATAATTCAGGTTTGAATCTTTCAATTCATGCTGATTCGATATATTGCTTGAGCTCTTATTACATACCAGGTCCAGGGCCCAGGGATGGAGACATAAAGAACATTTTTAAGGAACTCATCCCCAGTGAAGAAGAAAAGCATATAAACAAATGATTATAGCAGAGCAAAAAATATAATGATCAAAATATATGAAATAAACAGGTAACAGAGGAGAGAGAGACTGATTCTACCCCAAAATAAGTGAAAGAATGCTTTAAAAAAGCAAGAATCATCTGAGCTAGGCTTGGAGAATAAGGAGGAGCTTATTAGGTAGTAAGAAAGGAGTAGAATTTCAGGCAAAAGTAATAAGCACATGAAAGGAATGCAAACATGAAGTTAACATGCTATCTGATACACAAGTAACTCAGTATTGGTAAAATGTAAAGGGGTGATACAAAAGAAAGGACTACAGAAATAAGAAGTAGAAACTACAGGGCCTGTGGGGTCATTTTGAAGTACTTGAAAGGCAAACGGGGCCAGCTCATGAGGCAGAGAAATCACACATTTTGATTTGTGCCTTTGAACAGCAGGCTGTGGAAAGTGAACCAAACAAGAACAAGTTAGAAGACAGAGGTCAAGTTGAAGACTATGCTTGCAAATCTTCCATGTTAATAAAACAGAAGAAACACTTTTCTGCTCTTCAATGTTTTTTTCCCCAAGCGCATGGAAAATAATAGGGAGGATGAGAAACAGTGAAAAAACGCCATCTTTGACTGAACCCATCACATAAAAAGGAGAGCTGCCAAGTATAATAAAAACGGGACAAGGTTTCAGGGAAACAGAGAGTTCCAATTTTAGTTTGCTGAAGAGACATGAGCTACATCATTCACCACAAAACCTATGGCAGAAAGGCCTCTGCTCCGAGCCAGCATGTTCTGCTAGTCAGAAGTAGAATCAACCCCAGGAAAGAATGCTGCTGAGAAAGAGCTTGAAGACAACAGACACAAAGTCAGACTTCCAGCAGCACACCGATTCAGTAATCCCAGTGATCCATCCCAAGCTAGAAGTTCCCGTAACTCACCCAACACAAATATACTTCTTTGCTGATCACTAGACCTTTACCATGCTCTACAAAATATCTATATTTGTTTTGTTTTATTTATTTTGATATTTTTTACATGATTAAAAAGAAGCCAGCATGATGTCTATGCAAAAACTCTGCAAGAAGAAAACAAAATGCAGGCAGGGGACACAACAAAGAGATGGTGACATGAAGTAGGTAAAACCTACTAATAAATATCCATGAAATTTAGAAAGGGAAGAAGGGAAGGAAGGGAGGAAGGAGCAAGAGAAGGAAATAAAGCCTCTGAGAAACAAAAACTTAAAGAAGAAAAAGAATGATCAATAAATAGTTGTAAGGACGTGAAAAGAGCAAAGGTTTGCCCAGAATCTTTGAACTAGTAAGTTACAGAAAAACTTGAGAGCTTTTCACACTGTGTCACAACTGCACTGGGAAAAGGAAAATTAATAAAAAATAAGTAATAATTAGAAATATTTTAACATATAAAACACTGATGAAAAAATTCAAAGAAGGCACATATAAATGGAAAGGCATCTTGTATTCATGAATTAAAAGAATTAATACTGTTAAAATTTTAATAATCCCTATAGCAATCTAAAGAGTCAATGTAATTCTATCAAAATGCCAGCAGCATTCTTCATAGAATAGAAAACACAATGCTAAAATTAAAATAAGTCCACAAAAAACCCTGAATACTCAAAGCAGTCTTGAGCTAACAGAAAAAAAGTTAGAGGCATTGCACTATTCGACTTTAAAATAAACTGCTAAGCTGTAGTAACCAAAACAGTATAGCCCTGGCATAAAGACAGACAAAGAGATTGACAGAACAGGATAGAGAGCCCAGGACTAAATCCACATACTTACAGCCAACTGATTTTCAACAAAGATGCCAAGAACACAGAATAGGGAAAGGACAGTCTCTTCAACAAATGGTGCTGGGTAAAGTAGATATCTACATGCAGAGGAATAAAATTAGACCCTTACCTCATACCATGTAAAAAAATCAATTCAAAATGAATTAAAGATTTATGTGTAAATCCCAAAACTATGAAATGACTACAAGAAAACCTAGGGGAAAAGTCTGGGCAATGATATTTTTGGGAATATGACCCCAAAAACACAAGCAGCAAAACAAATGGGACTACATCAAACGAAAAAGCTTCCGCACATCAAAGGAAGCAGTTGCTAGAATGAAGAAACAACCTTCAGAAT